TGGGTTGGTTCCCAGCATTTTCTGTCATCCCTCTCCCGAGACTAAGCCCCCCCGGGTCTTCGCCAGGGTTTTCTCTCCTTCATTCCCTCCCACCAGGTTTTGCAGAAGCTCCGGCACGCTGTCGGTCATCCCGGGACCGTCCTCATCTAGATCACCTTCCAGGGTGATCGCTGCCTCCCTTTAGGAGAACTGCTGGGGCTGGGGGTGCCCCCTATGCCATGGGGTACCCCAGGAAGGTTCCCAGGCCTGACTGATGGAACTGCATGGGATGGAGCGATGCAAGCACCCTGTCGTCACGTTTCGGGGTGTCTGCTCGTACACGGAGGGGCAAAGGCAAGCCGGGGAGGGGAGGACGGGCAGCCCTCGCCTCACGGCCGAGGTACGACCCCAGGGCTCAGCTGTCACCGAGCTGGCACATTACAGCAGGCTGGAGCCAGGACAGCCGAAATCTAGCCCACCTGTGACATGCCACCCTATTTCTTGAGCCTGCAGGGCTCACCGAGCTGCGGGGTGCCGCATCTCCCCTGCCGAGCACCCTTGGGACCCTCAGGTCCCCAGCAGCACAAAAGGGAACATTTTTGGCAACGCTTGTCTTCCTCATCAGTGTGTGTGTGTGTGCACGAGCCTTGACCCAGCATCACTTCAGGCTCCCCAGGTGCACGGGAGAGCCTCCTCCACCCCAAACCTCCTGCGATTGCCAGAAGCCCCAGGAGAGGGGCCAGGGCAGTTCACGGGTGACACAGCCCCGCAGGGAGCAGGGAGAGTGTGACCAGAGAGCAGCTAAAGGCCTGATGCTCCCCAAGGTTCAAACTGATGTGCCGGGCACCATCCCACAGTGCATCACCCAGTCCTCGTGCACACACATCTGTGTGTGCAGGGGCTTATTTTTTCCCCTCCCCATTATCTCTTGGTGAGTACATCTGCTGTCTGCACATGCATTTCTTAGCTCTTTTGTATGATCCCACCTGTGGGAATCTGTTTGTTTGGGGCTGGCTCTGTCCTCCCTTTGGCTGCATGGGGCTCCAGGCATCGTGCTCAGCCGTCCCTCGCTCCCCACGCGTGCCTGTCTGTGTGTTTTTGTGCGTGTGTATGCATTACCCTGGCAGCTCACAGGTGCTTCCTCCAGTCTCCAGCTCTTTCCCTTGGCATGTGCCCGTGTTTACTTGCCTTTCCCCGTCTTTCTATCTCCATTCATATCTCCATCCATCACCATAACCCTCTCTCTGTCTCATTTCTCAGCCCGTGACCTCAGTGGCTCTGAATTCTTCCCCCATGGCCTGCTGCTACTGCGCCCACATGGCTGTAGTGAGGGGGCAGAAGGTCAAAGCTGGGGAGAGGGACCCCATGGGGTGCTGCCTGACCCCCCTGCCCCAGCTCCACACTCCAGGACGGAATGGAGAGGGGCAACAGGGAACAAAACAGGAAGATGAGGACATTGAGGACTTGCAGGAGTCTCCTTGCAGGTGGCTCTAGCCCCCACCAGACCTCAGGGGACAACACAACCCCCAGAAAAGATGGGGCATCTGGAGCAAACCCCCCAGGGAAACCAGACAACGCCCCTCTGGCAGCTCTCGTGTGCCCAAACCACTGCCCCGGCCGTACCCTGCAAAGCCTGCCGAGGTCCGTGTGACTGCTGAGCCCACGTCGACCCAAATAAATCAACACACACGTGCACGCTATGATGGGTCCCATCGCGGGTGTCGTGGTAGAACCTTTGGTGCTGCTGGCTCGCGGCCGGGCCAGGGCTGAGCCTGCTGGGCACACGCTGCCAGGCTGCTACAGAGTGGGGACCAGGGCTCCGCATCCCAAGTGCCAACAGCCCGATGCCACTGTGATGAGCATGGCAAGCCGCTCCAGCTGCCCCCTACAGCTCCTAGGAACCGTGTGGGGAAGGGGTGCTGGGCTCTGAGTAGGTAGCACCAGCACTTTACTTTGCGAGAAGTTCCATTCATAACCGCAACGGCGTCGGATGGGATTTACCTTTCTGCTAAAGGGCAGGATTTGGCCCTGAGCTGACGACCGGCTCCGGTGGAGGCCTTGGTGGGTGCTACGGGGTGAGCGAGGTGCCCTACCTGGGTGCAGACCGGGAGGGGGGGGGGGGGGAATGGAGGACAGCCCCGGCCCCTTGGGACCACCCTGCATGGAGGCAAGAGAGGGGGGCTGAGGGCGAGCCCCCTGCCCCTGAGCAGAGACCTCGAGGAAGAGCGGGGCAAGGACAACCTTCCCGAAGCCTCGCGAGGGGGACGAGCTGGTGTGTGGGGGGGATGCGGGGCTGGGGCACGGCATGTGCGGGAGCACCCCCCGACCCCTGGGAGCATCCTTCCCCCGGGGAGCATCCCCCCCCCTCCCCGCTCCCCCAGCCCATCCCTCGCACCTCGATCCGGTCGATGCGGTCCTGGAGGGCACGGACGGCCTCTTCCAGCTCCCGGACGGCGGGGGGCTCGGCGGGGGGGTGCCCCATAGTGCCGGGACGCGGAGCGGCGCGGAGCCCGGCGGCGGGGACGGGGGGGACGGCGGC